CTCCCAAGAGCACCGTTTGGCAGCAGCGGAGGTTGAGGTCCTGTCGACCCTTTTCTGGACTAGCCAGTTTTTTTGAAGTGCCACAAGCCCGCTCCAACGGCTTGCCGAAATGCACCCTGCCCTGCAATCAATAAATAACAAATCACAAACGGCACAGCGGACTCCGACTGCCGACGAACCCCCACTCGACACGAACGCTCATTCATTTTCACTCGGCACGATTTTGCCTTACGAACCTCGTTTCAACAGTCCATTTCGATTTCGAAGGCTTTCTATGTTCAGCCTTCTAGGGGGGGGAGCTCTGTAGCGCCCAAAAAGATAACTCTTATATTTCATGTACAATTTACCAGTTGACCGAATGCACATTATTCCTTCTTGTTTTAATCGTCCTTACAACCGGCTCGACAGCCTTGTAAGTTCCCGCGCTTACGTGTTCGCTCTCTTCTCGCTTCACCCGTCCGCTTCTTACTGTAGCCCATCGAATACAGTGCGCTGTGCCCGACTCCGATTGCCTTCTGATAGCCGCGCTTAATTTCGCGCACCGTCTCGGACTAGTATTAACTAGCCCTACAGGTGTTAGTGAAACTATACGTGACAAGAGTGGACAGCCTATCCACAATTTGTAAAAAGGCTTGGAGCGTTGGGATGAGCATTTTGAAAAGCAATTTAATCGGTTAGAATTGTTCGCTTCGCCGTTCAGTGATCGCCCTGCTCAGTGGGCTGTCTCTTTGGATCCACCGTCTCGCTCAGAAGTCAAACGTGAGATCGGACTGTTGAAGTTGAACAAAGCCGCGGGACCAGACGATCTTCCTCTAGCCCCCTTCAAATTCGGATGCACTGCTCTTGTTGATGCTTTACATGAATTACTAATGAAACTGTGGGAGCAGGAGACTGTCGCAACCGACTGGAGCCGCTCCAGAAGGAGGCTCACCTTCGGAATGCGGCAACCACAGAGGAATCAGTCTGATCTCCATCGCCTCCAAATTACTCGCCTCCATAATCCTTCACAGAGTGACTGGCGCTCGTGAAAGCCAGATTCGGGAGGAGCAAGCCGGGTTTCGTCGGGGTCGTGGCTGCATCGACCACATCTTCACCTTGCGTGAGTTGTTGGAGCACGGTCACACATATTGGCGGCTCACCGTAGTCGTGTTCCTCGACATCAAAGGTGCCTTCGATTCGGTTGATCGATGTGCCCTTTCGAATTGTCTACTCAGGAAAGGTGTGCCTGAGAAATATGTAAATATTATCCGAGCACTATACGCGCGTAGCACGGGCAGAGTTAAGGCTTACGGCAAGCTGTCGCCACCCATTAATATCTCCAGCGGTGTGAGGCAAGGATGCACGCTGTCACCTTTCCTTTTCAACTTCGCTACTGACGAAGTCATGGAGATTGCATTTACAGGAGATGACTTGGAAGGTGTGGAGTTACTCCCAGGAGAACGACTTCTCGATTTGGCGTGTGCAGACGACATTGCCCTCATCTGTGACAGCTCCCAGACGTGCCAAGCCGCACTGGACAGATTAGCACTGGCTGTCATTCGCTTCGGGCTTTGCACTGCACCATCAAAATGCAAAGCGTTCCTCCAAGATTGGCAAGGATCGTCTCCTGCGCTGACCCTTGGTGGGATCAGCTAGAAGTCGTTGGGAAATTCAACTAACTAGGGATCGAAGACTAGATCACGAACCGTATAGCAAAAGCTCGAAGTGCTTTTGCTAACCTCCGCCACCTATGGCGGTTGCGCGACATTACTCTCGCCCTGAAGGGTACAGTGTACAATGCAACGGTACGTTCGACCTTACTGTACGGTTGTGAAACCTGGCCCCTAAGATCAGTAGACATAATGAGGCTAGTTACGTTCGACCATCGGTGCCTTCGCAGTTTGGCTCACATCTGGTGGGAACTCCGCGTGAGTAACGAGCGTGTTCGACGCCTTGTTTACGGCACAGGAAAAGGAAATGAACCGCTCAGCACCGTCATTTCACGCACCAGACTCCGATGGCTGGGCCATGTGTTGCGCATGCTAGCCCATCGACTTCCACGACGTGCGTTGTTTGCTCACCGGGGATGTGGATGGAAGAAGAGGAGGGATGGCCAAGCGATGACTTTGTCAAGAGGAATGAAGGCCCTCACTTCGGAGCTGGTCTCGGCTGGAGCGTCACGGCTTCCTGGTTGGGGTCAAAAAGACGGTGAACACGTTTGGCTGGATACACTTGCTGACATGGCAAGGAGCCGACCTCAGTGGCGTTCCTGCTGTGAGTTTCTTTATCCCTCCCCATCCGCCTTACGATCCATTTCTTAGCGTAAAACATAATAATTTTTTTCTTTTTGCTTAGTAGCCGGCTGGTAGCTTGTCGGAACGATGCCTATCCGTTGCTGATAGCTCAGCTGGCATGCAACTTTTGTATTTATTTTCCTTTTTCACTATGTATTGAAGCACAGTAGCTGAGGTGTTTCCCACCGCTAGCTGACGTGTATACTGATGATATAATGATGATGACCGTTGTCTCGGTGGGATCTGAGTTCGTCAACTGCTTGTATCATTTTCACTCGAATCTCCGTGGAAAGATCTGGCAACACATAAAGTGATTCACCTTTAAGACGGCGAGCTCGTCGAAATATGCAACGGACCTCGTCATCATTTTGACATACAATTTTAAGTGGCCGAATCATTGAGGAGTCCTCATGTTTCTTCCGATGCGGGAAGCTGAAACAATGTTGATTCCTTGTTCTCCTTCATCGAACAGCAAAGAGATCATCCGTTGTAGGAACTTCCGGTCATCTACAATCCTTTCAGCTGGGGTGGCCTTGGTGGACTCTGCCGCATTCACGATGATAAGGCAGCGGTCGCGAAATGACGATTTGGCATTCTCACGGATCTTCGGCTTCAGAACAGGCGGTCCATCCTTAAGCAGTTTCTCCAGTTGACAGACTCTATCGAGAATCAAATTCAACTGTGATTGACATGTTGACGAGTTGGATTTTAGCCTAACTCCTGCCATGTTTTTACGTTCAACATGTACGTTTTCTTTTACTACCTCTGCGTACATCTTTATCTTGAGCTCCTCGCTCTGGCGTCCCCGTAGGTGAGGTAGACGGTGCACGAGTACGCTTACCCGTCGGGGTAGCTGTGACAGAAGTATATGAGGTAAGGCAAGGAGTTGGGAGCGAGACAGTAGCGATGTTCATCTGAGCTTGAGCAGGAAAAACAAGCGGACTGAGCGCAAGCAGTCCGTCAAGATATTGTCTGTTGCTTATCTTAACGCGGCACAGATCGCAAAAGAAACCTAAGACCGGAAAGTTGGATCGCAGGATAAATCCGTTCAACTCATGGCCGATTCCACAGCAAGCTATGTGGGTCCACCCATTGCAGATGGTGCACTGTCAGGCTTTGGAGCGCGAAGTAAGTCCTTTAAAAGAGGACAAGCATTTGGACGTCATAGCAGATGAAGTCCAATTAGTAAACAGATGAGTCTGCAAAATGATACTGATTCACTTTACTTTCCTTGAAACAGAACGCTCAACAGGATGTCTAGCTCCCCGTACCATGCACTATTATACACGGCGCTGAGGACAGCGCCTGTAAACAGGGGAATAAGGTGGCAGCTTGGAGCATTACCATGTGGCGGTCCATAAGGTAAGGAGATCGTTGGACCTCGGTTAGACGACCAGTAATGCTTCTTGTACCTTTTACCTCCACGTTTCGATTAGTATAGTCTCTTTCTGAGTGGTTGTGATATGTGAACGCAGCTACCTACGACGTAGTTGTTTTGCATTGCAATTCCACAGGCCTATTACGACCAACGTACGAATTAGACACGGAAGCCCTCAGAGTCCTCGTATATAGCAACAACAATGACTCGACTTGTATCGTGACATCATCATTAAAGGGTAGGAAGAAGTCCGGTCCAAAAAAGAGCCCTGTGGAACTCCGCTTGTCGCAGACGGGAGGACAGCGCGCTGTCGCCGCGAACTTGAACGGTACGGTGGTGGAATGTAGTTCCGGATCTAGTCCATCAAGGCCCCAGAAATACCGTAAGACAGTGCGTGTGCGTTAGGATGGTGTGGTCGACGTTGTCAAAAGCTTCGACGAAATCCACGACGACGTGCGTTGCTAGGCCGGAGTCAGCAGAAGTCGTCCAGCTGTCCCGGGCGAGTAGCAGATTATGCAGACATGACCGTTGCTCCCTGAAAGTCAAGTGTGTGACTCCAGTCGGATAGTTCAAGTTCAGGTGGGACTGGAATGATAAGTGAATCCCGTAAGTGTAAGAGCAGATCGTTGAGCCAGGGTTGATAAGATGGGAAAGGAATCTATGAATCATTGAAAGCTATCAATTTCATGGGAAAAACTCCACTATTAACGCTTATCACAATACCTTTTCATAACGGCGTCATAACAGCTGCCACACGTCTCATACCTGTGTTTGGAAAATACCAGTTCCGCGGGTTTATTGTAATACCACTGGGTGGGTGATACCAAACCTCTTGCTACGTCCGATATGTGTTGCATCGTGGCATTTTTCAAAAAAAAAGCGGACGGTCATCGGAAACGGCAGACACCTGTGTTATAAGTGGAGGATATAGCAGCTCAACTGTTCATATCTAGTTTCGTGGTGGCGAAGAAAACCTTAATGCAAACACAGACATTGAATGAGGTCAAGGCACGTAGCGCGAACACGGGGATAGAAGCCTGTGCTATGTGCAACAGGTAGGAAACAGACCCGCTCAGTTGACTTAACAGCTGCCAACAAAAGATGATCAGCGACAGGGTTGGACGCAATACCGTATCAGGGTCAACAGGAAGAAAAGTTTTTCAAGCAAAATGAATTCGAAGGGTATGAAACAGTTATGAGAAAAAATCCAGGGACGATTGCACATGTGCCATGACATAAACATGTAAAGGCACCAGTGAGGAATATTGTGTTAGACGTATAAATACACATTACTTCAAAAAACGGTTGGACAGACCAATAGTACACGGTTGGTTTCGACAGTACAATACCTTTTTCCGATTTTAGCAACGACAGAAACGCTTCGAAAATATTCCGCCCCGGAGCATGGCCGTCGGCGGCCATGTTGCAAAACCACGGAATCGCATTTTAGTAAAAGTGTTTAATGCAATGTTTGAAATAAAACCTCATGGTGGTCGGAAAATTATGGAGCAGTTTCAAATTGTGTCCCTCAACCAAACTGATTTGTTTGAGTGGGCTGATATTCGTAGTGTGTCCTACACCAATTGGAATAATCGCAGTGGCGCGCTTGCTGATGACCTTGCGTTTCTTCGCCATTCCCTTGCGACAATCGCGTAGCTGTTGGACCGGTTGGCCTGTCCGGAGGGTTAGCCATTTAAGGTCATGCGGTTCATTCGAATAAAACATCAACTTTGGAGACCTATTTCATTTAGAGATGATGCTTTTCTACATATGTAAGGTCTGTTTGTATTTATTCAATCTTGTTCTGGGGGCATATCGCAGGTTACTTTTACGGCGCGAAATGAACAGGATAATTGCCAGAAGCCGGAATCAATGTATACTCATGGAGGATATCTGCGACTTCGTTTTATGTTCCTTTTACTGTGCATGCCGGTGTTTGCGGCAAGTCTACGGCTTTATTATATTGGGTTTAATCCGTGATCCCTTTTGCATCTACTTTGATGTGGGCTTCTAGTAAGTTCAAGTTCCGGTGGGATTGGAACTATAGGAGAATCTCGTGTGTTCTAGCTGGAGTGGATCTTTGAGCCAGGAATTGACGAAGTGCTCAGAGTTATTGATGGATCTAAAACCGAACACCCGTATCGCGCCCTGGCCAACCAGTTAGTGCCCACGTTCCCTGTTGTGACAATTACGTGAAGTAAGCAAAGGATAGGAGGAGAAATCGAAGGTCAAGAATAAGGAAGTGCACTTGAAATAAGAAAATAATACCACTGCGTAAAGAAAAGAAAATCGAAATATGAAGATGCGAGTTAGGAAATGGGAAAGGTTACATGTTGCCACTCAAGAGCGTCAACTTGCTGCTCAAACCCCTTAACCGTAGATTCCCCGTTAACACTTTCCGGAAACATGTTCCAGCGCTCGGTGTGACAGCCGGATTTCCGCCCTAATCCGCTCGGACCGCGGTTTGTCCAGATTTAAGGAATGACCGCGTAGAACAGACGATCTAGCAGGACTGAATAGCCAAGATAAATCTGGACCAACCTTCCCAGTTAAGATACGGTAGTTTAGGATTAGGTCTCCTCTAAGCCTTCGGCAGTGCATTGAATGCATTCCCAAACTAAGTAGACGCTCGGGGTACGTCCGTCCTCGTAATCCCTCAACTAACCTCTTACCCACCCGTAAAACCATTCCATTTTGTCCCGGACGTGGCAGTGTGGACAAGCGTGGACGCAGTATTCCAGATGAGGCCGAACGAAAGCCGAGAACAGTCTCGTAAAATGCCGCCCGTCAAGGCTCCGAAAGAACGTCGAATCAACCACAACATGCGGAAACATCTGTTTGCACTTGTCGCCGGAGAGTGTACGACGCCTAGATCAACCTAGCTAGATACACGGGGGAGTTCAACCCCACCGACCAAGTACTTCGTAGGAGGACAACCTCCTCCAATTCGGCCGGTGGCCGAGTGGTCTGCACGTTTGCTTTCCGACCATAAGTTCACCGGTTCGAATCCGTGTAGGGGTGGGCGTCCTCCCGGTATACTCAGCCCGCGCGCGACTGGTGGTGGTCGCGCGGCAGCGAAGCGCCGTTACGGCGTATAAGCTGACGCATTTCAGATCAGTCCCAAAGCTTATCCAATGCTTGCTGAATAGCTTCAGAACCCCCCCCCCACGAACATCGACAACATTCCACAGCTTCAGGTCATCAGCAAATAGCAGCGATAGTACCTCATGCTCCGCGGGTAGGTCATTCACATAGATCGAGAACAGAAGCGGTCCAAGAACCGAGCCCTGCCACGCGTCACTGAGGATAGACTGCCTAAACGATAGGCCACGGTCTACCCGTATACACTGTTCTCTACCATCCAAGAAGGCAGTTACCCAATGAAGGGCGCTGCCAGATACCCAGTAGGTCAACTTTTGCGCGAGCCTCAATTAGGGTACCTTGTCAAATGCCTTCGAAAAGTGCGTGGTCGTTATCCACTGCATCCGCCCAACCATCGCGAGCCACCAGTAGATTCATCAGACACGAATCCGTGTTGTACATTCCTAAGTAGATTGAATCTAAGAGGACTCTTCACTGAATCTCTCACCAGTTTCTCGCGGAGTTTGACTACAACACTCAACAGACTAACTGGCCTGTAATTTGCAGGCAGACTCCTGACCCCATTTTTGAAGATGGGACAGATGACAGCTTCCTTCCATTCAGAGGGTAATGCACAGCTGTCAAGCGATTTCTGAAACAGCATAGCGAACAATCCAGTTAGTTCCGCAGCCAACTTATGCAACATTTTCGGGTGAATTAAATCATGCCCAGAGGCCTTAGAAGGGTCCAGCCTTGGTAACAGTCAATGAACTTCCATGGACGTTTATAGCGCGTCAGTCGTGCGCTATATGGACCCTGCAATTACTATGACCAGTGCCGAACCTGAACTAGTCGGTGTGAAAATACTACAATGGTACGTGTTTGGTAAAACTTATCTACGTGTAACACTGTCGCTGCGTGATATCCTTCAGAAGGAATTTGGTGAAGCAATCATAGGATACCCTGTCCGCACAGATGGACGGCCAGCCGTCCCATTTGACGTGCTTTTGGTCGCTCGCAGAGGCAAAAATTTAACATGAAACTAAGTGGCTTGATCCGTCCTTTTATGCTGTTAAATAAGATTTGTAGAGCCGAACCCAAGTACTGGTTGCGACGCGAACCAGTAGGAACCAATTAGGTTAGGTCAGATCTTCAGGAACGTGATAGGTCTTCGCCTAACGAACGTCTGGGTTCGTGTGCCGGTAAGCAAGCCAAGGCCCCTGGCTCTTCGACCTTCAAGCTTTACTTCTGCGGAGACAAAAAAGAGTAAGAGGAACGTCTCATAACTTTATGAAACCATTCGTGACATCCTATTGGTACTAATTGAAATCTCAGTGCAATTCCGGAAACAGAGTGGACCAATTCATATCTAGGCCTCTTTTAAAGGCTTCTAGACTATTACATTCCACTAATGCGGGGTGGGAAGTGGATTCCAACTACCTATTACGCTGTTAGTGAAAAATTTCGCCCGAATAGCCAGTCTGGACTTATGCGTCATGAAGCTCAGACCGTGTCTCTTCTGGTGGTCCGACGTAGCTAGCTCAAAGAGATCGGTAGGCTTAATGCGGCTGAGACCCTTCATAATCCTAAGTGTTTCTATCAAGTCTCTCCTTAATCTCAGTTGATTATAACTGAGGAACTAGTCGGGGCCAATGAGTATTGTAGAGCGGCAGTGAACTAGAGGCAAATTAGCAAGAGCACAGATCAATGTAACTTGCAAATCACAGCGAGTTCGAAAGTGAACCGGAGGTGCCGTCAATAAAACAATTGGACGATCGGAAGATACAAACAAGAGTAAAATTCAGTGTCCCAAAGTACTGAAAGCGTAGATGTTTTTTGTTCACTACAGGGGTCTCTCCATAGAAGGCTGAATGATGGAACTCTTCGATCGAGATCAGGTGGGAGACGAAAGGAGGATAGGAAAATAGAGTAGTTGTTGTTGTGGGCGCACGCGGACAGAGGATGCGCGTGGAGTTCGTTGTGTCCCGGCTTCTTTGTTAGTATTTGTATGTGGGCTGGAGTTCATCGTCGCTTAGCCCTCGGTGCGGGCTTGTCGAGCTGCAAAAATACTGGGTAGTCCAGAATAAAGGCCGACAGGACATTTCCTCCGCTGCAGACCCGACGATGCGCTTAGAGGGTGTCACCCCCCACCGCACTCCAGTCCACGGCGATGACGATGCTCGTCCCAAGAAGAATCCCGGACGTCATCTTTGGGAACCAATTCTCAGAACTCACGAGACAGACTAGTCGTTATCGCAACGGTAGTGGGGAGTGGCGGTCGTTTTGAGCCAGGATTATGGGACCGGAGGCTATGGCCAGGTGAGCCAGGAGATTCCGCGGTTTCCCAGGGGACCTCAGTTTTGGAATGTAAGACTCGGGGAGGGTGGAGAACGGTCGGTATAGGCGGCGTGATACAGTATGGATAACGATGCAATTATAAGAAACAAAAATGTGTACACTTGTAAAATAATGTTTTAGGATTTTTTGTCGTTTTGTTAAACCTTTGTGAATAAAAGTCGGCTCGTAGCCTAAAGGTAACCAGCTTGTCTCGTGACCTTGCGGCACAGGTACGAATCCGCGTAGGGTTGGGCGTCCTCGCGGTATACTCAGTCCGCGTGCGAATGGTGGTGGTCGCACGGCAGTGAAACGCCGTTACGGCGTACAGCTGATACACTATTATTATTATTATTTGTCAACAAAATGCACGTTAAGATGAAAGGTGGGAAATACGTATGTCTAGGAATATAGCGAACGTTAACAAAATCTGAAACGCGGACCGGACGTTTGACCTGTCTACCGCATTGGTCAGTTGCCTGGGGTTGGCGGAGGGTCAAGGGTAATAGAGGGGTCTAGAAAACCTGATGCAGTGGTGCAGCTGCGGGTGAGTTTACCTGGGCGGCTGTACTAGGTAAAGTTGAGGGCGGACCTTCGATGAAGGCCACCTTAAGATGGTCGATGGGCACCGTTGTTCGATGACCATTCTGGTCTAAGGTAAAATGCTCAGGAGTTCAGTGGTGAACTCTGAAGGGGCTGGTGTAGGGGGCTGAAGTAGTCGACGTACTGCGTCCAAGCAGACGAAAACGCAAGTTCATGTAGAGAGTCCACTGGGTATTTGTACATCTATGGTCTGCTCACGAGGAAGGGTTGAACGTAGTGAACGCATGCGTTTGGGAAAAAGGCTGCGAATTTTGCCTCTGGCATACAAGATGAAGAGGGTGCGAAATCAACTCTCTTGGTAGCTTAGATGTTGTGCTGAAGACCAACTCTGCCGGTGCGCAATGCAGGTTGGCTTTGATGCTGCTGCAAATACCTAGAAGTACTAGCTGAATGTTTCCGCTCCAGATAGATGAGAGCGTTCGA